TTGGGATTTGGGATTTGGGATTTTGGCATTTGGGATTTCGGCATTTGGATTTTGAATTTGGGTGGCAGGTATAGTATTTATATATTTTTCACGATTTGCACAGATCATAACTCCAGATGGAAAATTTTGTCTTGGCAAATTTAATAATTTAAAAATTATCAATAGTAATAATTTTGTACCATCTGCTATACAAGAAAGTACTACTGTAAAATTTGATTTTTCATAACCTGTAATTCTTATACTAACTGTATTTGTATTTGTTTCTTCAATTGTTGTATTGCTTGATATATCAAATGATAATGGTATCTTATCCATGTTTTCAATCAAGTTCAAAAGATAATCATATTAAATATAATGATAAAGTACAAAGTTTAAAAATTCTTGTTATTTTTCTAACAAATCTTCTGGTAACCTTTGCACTACTGTTATGTGGTAACGATTGCTTAGTCTGTGATGGCACATAAATTCACTTAACAACCTTTCACCCCATTTGCATTCTGATATATTTGAATAAACTGATATAAATTGTAATTTATTAGATAAAGATTTTGCTTTTTCACAAATCATAAAATGTAAAATAACTTTTTGTTAAGAACATAAGGCTTTAATCCATTTGATAAGTTCATTTTCAAGTAAAGGATATCGAGGTTTTGATTCAGCAGTAAGTCTTTTTATATGTGGTTTTGCTCTTAATAATTTATTCTTATTTTTAATCTAATCTCTTATTTGTTTAGGTTGAATATTAAATTTTTTGGTTGTATTTTGTTTAGATGCATTAGGACTTCTTTCAAAATAGGTTATTATTGTTAATTTTTCTTGTGCATTTCAACTTCTTTTCTTTTTACATATAATAGTTACTTTTTTCAAAAGAGTTAAATTGCGAGCCATTTTTTTTTTAAAAAAAAATTAAAACAGATCTCAACACATACGAAATTCTATATATAGTAACCATGATTTGTACTATACATATTTCCAAAATTGATTTTGGATTTTTGAGGTATTTCGACTTTTTGAGATTTATGCAAAATCTATTCTATATATGGAAGTAAAAAAAATACCTAGTTATATGTATATTTAATCAAAGAATAAATCTGGGTGGTCAAAAAATTTTGGATTTTAAGTAAAATAATTTCGTCTTCTATGAAAAACTTTTTCAACTTTTTTCTCCAAAATTGCAATTTCGGGATCCCAAAATAATTTTGCGTGCAAGTATAATTTATACTCTCCAGATTTTATACCCTCTATACATTAACTTCCTCCTTCTAAAATACCCTGTTCTATATAATATACCTCTGGGATATGATTCACTTTTTTAGATGGTAGGATGTAATATATCCCAGATATTTTATGTAGCAAATTATGATATTTTATTTAAAAAAATATTAAAAATTAAAAATTTATTTTTATATTTGTATTAGGAAATTTAATTAAAACTTATTTTGGAACTAAATATCTTGTTAAAATTTATACTTCATTAAATAATGCAGATTGTTTAAGATATTATATAGATAAAATACAAAAAGAAATTAATTCACAAGAAACTGATCTTTTTGAAGTTGTATATAATTATTCTAAAAATATTAATAATTTTTGTAAATATGTAAAATGTCTAAGTAAATATTTATTTAATTTACTTATATTTAAATATTAAAATTTATTTTATTTAATTATAATTTATATATTTATATTTAAATATTATTATAATTTATTTTATATAGAATTTTTCAAAGATAATTATGTAATAATTATTTGTATCACTTTAGAACAATTAAGTGAATGGGTAAAATGTCAATATTTTAAAATTGATTTGTCATTTAAAAGAGTTGCAGAAGAAATCAATGAATATGAAATCAATTATTTTAATTTGAATTATAACTTAAGTAAATTTTATATTATTTTTTTTTCTTTAAAATAATTTTTAATTATAAATATATATTAATATTATATTATTTTTTAGTTATTACTTTTGTCAGAGTATTTACTAATTGTATAATATCAGTTGCATATTACAGAATCTTTCATTTACTTTTTAATCTTATATTACAATTAACTAGATCATCACCTCAATTAAACATATTCATGATTATACTTGCACACAAAATTATTTTGAAGCTCCAAAATTAAAATTTCAAAAAAAAAAGTTGAAATAGTTTTTCATAGAAGATGAAATTATTTTACTTAAAATTCAAAATTTTTTGATCACCCAGATTTATTCTTTAATTGAATATATATATAATTGGGTACTTTTTTTACTTCTATATATAAAATAGTTGAAATATTTCAAAAATCCAAAATCAATTTTAGAAACATGTATATTCATGATAACAGATAAAGATGTATTATTGCAAATTTGAATTATGCACAAGCAAAAGGGCTTGAAATAATATTGAATGAAATAGATAAAACAAAAGATTGAGAAAAACATTTAGTTTATATTTTAAAATCTTATCAAGTTCATTATAAAAGATAAAAATTTTTTTTAATTATTATTATCAATGTGATTATATTAAATCTATTTTATTTTTATATTATTATTATTATTATTATAGAAAAATCAGAGAGAACAAATATGATAAAATTGTTTCAAATGATATGCTTGCACTTCTTTTAGCAGATTCTAAAGATATAATTAATAAATTATTTAACAATATTTTAAAAAATAATGAAAATACAACTAGTTAGTAAATTATATATTTTTTTAATATTTTTATTATTATAATCTTAAATATAACAGATAATTTTTTTTATTTTTTTTAAGGCTGAATTTTATTTTATAAACAAACATGGATCATTGGTTCTTTAAACAAAACCATGTCTAAAATTAATAATAAAATTTGGATTATAGTATCAAATAATACAAATGTAACAGAAGCTACTCATGCATTAAGTAATCATTGTGGAAAAAATCTAAAATTAATAATAGCAATCAAATAGTATTTATAATATTTTTATTTATTTTTTTTTAATTAAAATTTAAAATTATTACAAATTGAATTAAATAAGATTAATTTATTAAGGGATATAAATTAGACAAATAAAGATTAATTATTATTAATAATAACAACAAATACAATATACCTTTTGTAGAAGAGACAAAGGTTTTTTAGCTCAAAAAGTTTCATCAAATAAATTATTTTTATTAAATAAGTTTGAAATTATATAATAAAATAAATTAATGTTTTGTTTTATTAATTCTATATTTAATTTATTTATTAGCTAATAAACTGATCAAAAAACAAAAACAACTTTTTCTAAATGTAAGCAAAATGAAAATACAAGTTCTAGTAAGAAAAAACTTAAAAAAACTATTACAATTGAATCTGATATTGAAGATAATCAAAATGAAGATAATCAAGATCAAGAAAATATTGAAAAAGTCATAGCTTTAAAAGAGTATCAGTTTGTATTAAAAGAAAGGGAAACTAAAATTCGTGAAATAGAATTGAATAATCTTATAAAAAAAAAAGAATTAAATAATAATTAAATAATATTTTAATAATAATAATTGTATATAGGTAAATATTAAATAATAGTTTAATAATATAATAGTTTAATAATATAATAGTTTAGTTTAATAATAATAATTTACACTGGTCGAAAATTGATAAAATATACACATATCGGGTACCCAATATGTGCATGGTGCGTCCCTAATATCGAGCATATATTGGGTACCTGATATGTGTAAAAAATATTTTATATATATATCGAGTACCCGATAAGTGTAAAAAAATATTTTCTACATATATCAGGTACCCGATATATATCCAATATTAGGGACGCACCATGCATATATCAGGTACTCAATATATATATGTTTTATCAATTTTCGACCAGTGTTAATAATATATATATAAAAATTATAATAATTAAATCTATTACTATATAATAAAAAAATTTAATTAATAAATATATAAATTTTTTGACAAATTATAAAATATTTTAAAATGAGACTCAGTTGGTTAAAAAAAATTTTTACACATTTGTATAATTTACGACCTCATTAAGTACACTGTACTCGACTTCAGTTTTTAGGATATACACTACTCATGTAATTGACCAGACTCCGTTTCGTACAGAATAGTTTATAAATATATCCTGTATACCTCAAATAAATTATACAAGTTACATATTGTACAGTACAGTTTATATGTATATCTCCAGGATGATTAAATTTGCGAAATAACATTTACTGCGGTGACCACGTAACGTTGTGAACATAACAATTTTTCTTGACACCTTAATTTTGTTTCTAAAAATGTCTTCATTACTCAAGCTCGTTGTGAGATTTTCTCAACCTACATCATATATTTTTCAACCAGTAATCTTTTTCTCGTCTATTACTATATCATTTGACAAAAATCTTATGCTGTCACGAGAATTAGTCAAGGAAATACTTAGGGATAAGGAATTACCCTCTATCAATTTCAAAGTATCTCTTTTTATGAAAAGGGATGTTGAGACACTTAAAGTGAACTTCCAATCAGTTACTTGCAATAACCAAATCATTCCTCCAGTTGATGATAAGTACCTGTGTTACTTTTCTCTTAACAAATTCTGTATTAATGATTCAAATATCATTTAGTTAGTAAAGACTTTTCTAGAACAATACATTCAACCTGACATCCATCACAAAGAGCTTGAGAAACAAAGTTTCGATATCAGAAAGATTGACAAAATTTTTGATGATATTTGGACATTTATTCTCAAATTGTATTGGGTTGTAAAGAACGCAATGGTAATAACAAGAATATATGAAACTTATACTGATACATTGGTAGATGATTTGTTTCATATTGTTAGGTTGAATACTTTTCTTTTGGTGATTAGGTAAGTAGTTATATAGAATCTTTTTGTTTATGATGCATTCTAAAATTTGCATTCCTGAACTCAGAAATCATCAAGAATGTAAACTATTCATAGGAGGATATCTTTATTTGTCAGCAGACCCTGAATTTTTGATTAAAATGGTAAATAAGTTTGTGATTGCTGTGAGGGTCGGTATGTTTTATTTTCTGACAGGACCATATCTATTTATTAACTTAGTAGTTCTTTACAGGATAAATACCTGCAAAACATTAATCTTTCGAAAGGTTATGGAGAATAATAAATTGTTGCTGAGATACTCGTCTGTGGTGATGAAAATATGCATCAAGCTCGCATGGCTAGGGACCAGACTATATATGCTGTTCACATCATCTCAACATATGTTACGTTTTACAAGGCTTTGATCCCTGTACCATATTTGATAGAACTCGATAAGAGTCTGCCACAAGAACAATCAGTTGTAATTTTAAGATAGCCAGGAGAAAACATTCCAGAGGTTGGCCTGAATATTGCAGAACCAAAAGGAAGACGTGAAGTGTTGAAAATATTAGTCAGAATTCGTCAAGATCTTATAATGAATGAAAATTAAGTATATTAATATAATATTAATTTAGATAAGCTCAAAATATTGTGTGACATATTTTAATTTAGTATATTTTATTCTTAATAAAAATTTTTCATTTAACTAAAAATGAACTTTCAATTGTATTACATGTGACAGGTGGGTTTGCAGATCGTGCTTGTTAATCTGTAAATTGAATTTTGTTTTTTTAAATAGAATTAATTGATCTTTATTTGTAATTATGTATTAATTATACCTTTCTCTATTACAAAAAAAAATTGGAAAAAATCAAATAAAAATTGATATTAATTAATGAATTTATTTATATCTAATCATCGCAAAAGCATTTAAAACTTTGAGTTTATTCAATAAAACTCAATTCTCTAAGATGTTCTGGAATAACTATATATGGGTCTTCGTAATATCAAACATACCTTAGAACAATTTAATTTTCTTTGCACAATTCTTTCTTGAGTTGATTCCACTCTTGCTGTTTAATAAAATTATTGGAATCACCATTATGAAAGAATTCTATATATCTTTTGTATTGTTCTCTTTGTACTTCAATTATAAATCTATATTATAGGTAATAAATATCAAGTTCTAATTCAATTGAGTGATTTAAAGTTTTAAGAAAATCAGGTTAACATATCTTAGATGGTGATTCAAGATATTTTGTTACAATTTCTTGACATAATTATTCGTATTTATATTTATAACAAAATAGACATCAGGTATCACTTTTCACATTATCAAGTGATACTTGTTATAAATGGTCTTTTTTGCAATACCATGATAATGGCAATTGATTATTTTTATACTCGGTTAAAAGGTATTGCCCATGTCTAGATAATGCAACTTGTTTCATATCCACAAGAGTAAATTTCATATTACCTGTATAACATAGATATTAACTTTCCTGTTGAATACTGTTTGGAGTAACTTTTCATTTACAATTATTTTTACAAACCCATTTCAATTTTGTTTGTGAATTATAATATTGATCTGAAAGGTAATCTCTATTTTTTATTTGTACGAGTTTATGCATATTCTCTATTGACTGATATTGACCAATATAAAATAGACACCATTGCTCTTTATTTTTAATATAATCAAGTTTATTTTGCCATTGATAGTTGAATTGACATTTCCAAATGAGCAGATCATTATTATTTTTATACTCAGTTGAAAGACATTTATCATTCTTGGATAATGCAATTTGTTTCACATCCTCAAGAGTTAATTTTGTATTACCTACACAAAATAGATACCATGTTCTAGAATATTTAATGTTATGGAACTGACTATTCCAAATATAACCTTGATAGTTGTTATATATAAAGTTTTTTATTTTAATAAGTAAATATTAAAACAGTACTAAGTAATCTCAAATACGAGAATAAATTACATATTATATTTAAAGAACAAATCTATAGTATATCATCAATATTAAGAAAATAATTAATGATTAAATTTTAATTGAATAAAAATTCTTAAAATGATAATTATTCACTCAATTTTAAAGATACAGATTTGTTCTTAAAATTTGATATACAATTTATTCTTTTTTTTAAGATTACTTAGTACTACTTTTAATATTTACTTATTAAAATAAATTATTATATATATATTAATGATCAATAATTTTGTTATTAATTAATCAATCAAATTACTAAAGTAATTTAAAATAATCCAAAGTAACCTAGAACAACCTGGAGTAAAATTATATAATAATCCAAATTATAATAAAATATTTTGCTTTGGGTTAGTCCAAAAAACTAGACATCTTAACCTGTTCCATAATGGAGTGATACATAATCTAGGTTAATGTCAGAACATTATACTCTAGTTAACAACCTTATCTATTGTTCATGTAGAAATTCCTAATCTTAATACTGAACCAAGACTTCATGAGACTGTGATAAAGCATATAATACATGAACTGTACAGTCTCTTCAATTCAAGTGTATCCTGTATGCAAGATGGCAAGTGAAAAAAAGGTTATCTACAAGATTTTACTAAGTTCACAACTCAAAATTTGAACTCTTATCTTAATTATAAATGTAAAAATGGACTTTATGTAATAAATATAAAAGGAGTAAAACTAGATAATCATTGTCACCAGTGGTTCCTGGTTTCTTCAAGAATCACCTAGTAGAGTGACTTAATGGTTCTTTTAAGGAATTTATATCTTTTCCAAAAAGTAAGACTGTTGTTTCATTATTTTAGAAGATACCACTGATTCAGTTATTTTAGAAAGGGAATCAAACCTTTTATTCAATTTATTTCAAGTTCAGGTTTTAGAATAATAGTTTATAAATAATTTCATTAACTTAGGAATAATAACATTATACAATTATACAATCAAGTATTTAATCCCATAATATTTATTATTCCTTTGTTAACTACATATTATATCATTTAATAATTATTTTTATAATTTATTTTTATTTTTCCAATATTTATTTTATTAATTCCATTGCAAGGTAATTTTTACAAGTATTTATCTTGAAGTTACAAATTATAAAATTAAATTTTATCAATTTCAAATAAGTTACAAATTATCAAAATTCAAAATTATAAAATTGTAAACTAAAGAGGGACAAGGTAAT